ACAAATCAACAAAACTAGGAGCTGGTTCTTTGAAAGAATTAATAAGATTGATAAACCCCTGGCCAGACTTATCAAAAAGAAAAGAGAAAGGACCCCAATAAATAAAATCATGAATGAAAGAGGAGAGATCACAACTAACACCAAAGAAATACAGACAATTATAAGAACATACTATGAGCAACTCTACGCCAACAAATTTGACAATCTGGAAGAAATGGATGCATTCCTAGAGACATATAAACTACCACAACTGAAGCAGGAAGAAATAGAAAGCCTGAACAGACCCATAACCAGTAAGGAGATTGAAACAGTCTTCAAAAATCTCCAGACAAACAAAAGCCCAGGGCCAGATGGCTTCCCGGGGGAATTCTACCAAACATTTAAGGAAGAACTAATTCCTATTCTCCTGAAACTGTTCCAAAAAATAGAAATGGAAGGAAAACTTCCAAACTCATTTTCTGAGGCCAGCATCACCTTGATCCCCAAACCAGACAAGGATCCCATCAAAAAAGAGAACTACAGACCAATATCCTTGATGAACACAGATGCAAAAAGTCTCACCAAAATACTAGCCAATAGGATTCATCAGTACATTGAAAGGATTCTTCACCACGACCAAGTGGGATTTATTCCAGGGCTACAAGGTTGGTTCAACATCCGCAAATCAATCAATGTGATACAACACATTAATAAAAGAAAGAACAAGAACCATATGATACTCTCCATAGATGCTGAAAAAGCATTTGACAAAGTACAGCATCCCTTCCTGATCAAAACTCTTCAAAGTGTAGGGATAGAGGGCACATACCTCAATATTATCAAAGCCATCTATGAAAAACCCACCGCAAATATCATTCTCAATGGAGAAAAACTGAAAGCTTTTCCGCTAAGGTCAGGAACACGGCAGGGATGTCCGTTATCACCACTGCTATTCAACATAGTACTAGAAGTGCTAGCCTCAGCAATCAGACAACAAAAGGAAATTAAAGGCATCCAAATTGGCAAAGAAGAAGTCAAACTATCACTCTTCACAGATGATATGATACTATATGTGGAAAACCCAAAAGACTCCACTCCAAAACTGCTAGAACTTGTACAGGAATTCAGTAAAGTGTCAGGATATAAAATCAATGCACAGAAATCAGTTGCATTTCTCTACACCAACAACAAGACAGAAGAAAGAGAAATTAAGGAGTCCATCCCATTTACAATTGCACCCAAAACTATAAGATACCTAGGAATAAACCTAACCAAAGAGGCTAAGAATCTATACACAGAAAACTATAAAGTACTCATGAAAGAAATTGAGGAAGACACAAAGAAATGGAAAAATGTTCCATGCTCCTGGATTGGAAGAATAAATATTGTGAAAATGTCTATGCTACCTAAAGCAATCTACACATTTAATGCAATTCCTATCAAAGTACCATCCATTTTTTTCAAAGAAATGCAACAAATAATCCTAAAATTTATATGGAACCAGAAAAGACCTCAAATAGCCAAAGGAATATTGAAAAAGAAAGCCAAAGTTGGTGGCATCACAATTCCAGACTTCAAGCTCTATTACAAAGCTGTCATCATGGTACTGGCACAAAAACAGACACATAGATCAATGGAACAGAATAGAGAGCCCAGAAATAGACCCTCAACACTATGGTCAACTAACCTTCGATAAAGCAGGAAAGAATGTCCAAAGAAAAAAAAGACAGCCTCTTCAAAAATGGTGTTGGGAAAATTGGACAGCCACATGCAGAAAAATGAAATTGGATCATTTCCTTACACCACATACGAAAATAGACTCAAAATGGTTGAGGGACCTCAACGTGAGAAAGGAATCCATCAAAATCCTTGAGGAGAACACAGTCAGCAACCTCTTCGACCTCAGCCACAGCAACATCTTCCTAGGAACATCGCCAAAGGCAAGGGAAGCAAGGGCAAAAATGAACTATTGGGATTTCATCAAGATCAAAAGCTTTTGCACAGCAAAGGAAACAGTTAACAAAACCAAAAGACAACTGACAGAATGGGAGAAGATATTTGCAAATGACATATCAGATAAAGGGCTAGTGTCCAAAATCTATAAAGAACTTAGCAAACTCAACACCCAAAGAACAAATAATCCAATCAAGAAATGGGCAGAAGACACGAACAGACATTTCTGCAAAGAAGACATCCAGATGGCCAACAGACACATGAAAAAGTGCTCCATATCACTTGGCATCAGAGAAATACAAATCAAAACCACAATGAGATATCACCTCACACCAGTCAGAATGGCTAAAATTAACAAGTCTGGAAATGACAGATGCTGGCGAGGATGCGGAGAAAGGGGAACACTCCTACACTGTTGGTGGGAACGCAAGCTGGTGCAACCTCTCTGGAAAACAGCATGGAGGCTCCTCAAAATGCTGAAAATAGAACTACCCTATGACCCAGCAATTGCACTACTGGGTATTTACCCTAAAGATACAAACATAGTGATCCAAAGGGGCACATGAACCCGAATGTTTATAGCAGCAATGTCTACAATAGCCAAATTTTGGAAAGAACCTAGATGTCCATCAACAGATGAATGGATAAAGAAGATGTGGTATATATACATAATGGAATACTATGAAGCCATCAAAAGAAATGAAATCTTGTCATTTGCGACAACGTGGATGGAACTAGAGGGTATCATGCTTAGCGAAATAAGTCAATCAGAGAAAGACAACTATCATATGACCTCCCTGATATGAGGGAGAGGAGATGCAACATGGGGGGTTAAGGGGGTAGGAGAAGAGTAAATGAAACAAGATGGGATTGGGAGGGAGACAAACCATAAGTGACTCTTAATCTCACAAAACAAACTGAGGGTTGATGGGGGGAGGGGGTATGGGGGGTTGGGGGGGTGCGGTTATGGACATTGGGGAGGGTATGTGCTATGGTGAGTGCTGTGAAGTGTATAAACCTGGCGATTCACAGACCTGTACCCCTGGGGATAAAAATATATTATATGTTTATAAAAAATAAAATTAAATTAAAAAAAAAATCCTGGGCACTGAGTTTCTAAGGAGCTTCCTTGCTAGACATTTCACATTTATTGTTACAACTTATTGCTGGGAGAACTCAATGCATCCTATGTGACTCCACCGGAAGAAGATCCTGGAAACTTGTGCCTGGTTTCCTCCAGATGTCACTCCTCCACCTTCTCCCTTGCTCCTATGTATTTGTATCCTTTAGTTGTAATAAATTACAACTGTATGATGTATGCTTATTTCTATGAATCCTCCTAGCAAATCAGCCTCAGGGTAGTCTTGGAAAGACACAGTACAGGATACATTTTTTGGGAGGTCACCTTTGGCAGAGAAAACAATAGTGGTCAGAGATAAGGGCCACTTGTAAAAAAGGAAACACATTCTATTTTGGGAACTGCACCTCATTTTGAATGATTCTGCTAAGATGGGGAGGACAATTATACAAGGAGCCAAAAAGAACCTTAAACATTATCTAGGTATTTGGTTATTTCCCTTTTTAAGGGCTTCTATTAGTTCAATTCTTATTTGACCAAGTCTTCTTCAAAGCTTCTTACTGAGAATGAGCACAGAAAGGTAGTAATAGTCCAACTGAACATCGCTTAGTCGAACATCGCTGCTCCAAGAAAACTGTTCTGATTCCAACCAGTGAAAAATGGAATCTGTCCATGGTCTTATTTTTCAAAATATTTATTCTAAAGTAAGCTCCTTGAGAGGATTGTGTGTGTGTGTGTGTGTGTGTGTGTGTGTGAGAGAGAGAGAGAGAGAGAGAGAGAGAGTTTTAAGATTATTTTATTTGCAAGACAGAGAGAGATAGAGAGAACATGAGCGGGAAGGAGAGGGAGAAGCAGGGTCCCTGCTAAGCTGGGCTCTATCCCAGGACCCTGGGACCATGACCTGAACTGAAGGTAGACATTTAACTGACTGAGCCATGCAGGTGCCCAAGAAGGAGTGTGTTTTATTTGTTTTTATTTTTCCTTAATGCAGTGCCTAGCATAGTGTTTTATTAATGGAAGACATTTAATAAATATATTTATGATCCCTTATGAGATTATGAGCTTCTTACAAGATGGGACCATATTTTATTCATCTTTGTATCTCTGTAATCTAGTATAATATCTTGTTTACATTATCCATTCTTTCATTTCCAGGATATTTATTGAACATCTATGATGTGGCACACACAGTTCTAGGTGCTTATAATTAAATAGCAAACAAGATAACAGGGCTCACAGTCACATGGGAGCTGAATAAATGCTTGTTGCATTCAGTGTTATTTATCATTCAGACTCTTGACTTCCCACAAGCCTGGCACTGTGAAAGCTGTCCCTATCTTTCTCCTATATTTTATTTGCCTTATTCCCTTATTTGTACACTGTAATTCTGGTTTTGAAACTGGACTAACTACTTCTGCTCTCGTCACTTAGATTTTTCCCCTCAGAAATGGCATCAGCTCCTGGTCTAAAACAATTGTAACCAAAATACAGTTGGTATTGGAATATGGCAATTATAAATTATAATGTGTAATTTAGATGATGTGTTCCAACAAAGGCAGGAAGTTTTGTTTGTTTGGTTTTCTTCCAGTCTCAGAACTCAGGACAGTACTTTCTCAATAAAAATTTGTGAGCAAGTCAGTTGAATAGATAACCTTATGTTAGAATCAAATGAAAGTTTTATCAATGAAATATTATTTAAAATTATGTTTTGAAAGATAATATTAGCCAGGATAGCCAAAACATGCAACACATAATATGAAAGAAGCTGAAAACCTCAAGATGATTCTATAATGAAAGAATTTCCTGAAATGGGAGGCAGAGAATTTGGGCTCTGGGTGCTTTGTCATTAACTTGCAATAATAGGACTTTTGTCCGGTCATTTTAAATTTTGTGCACCTCCCTTTTCTTATCTGTGAATTGAAGATGTTGAAAGAGATTTCTACGTTCTCTTCTACATCAGTATTAAATCCATGTGGTTGTTTAAAAGGAATGATACCTGATGGGCGTTATGTAATTTTGTGTCATCCTTGCTCATGGGCCATGCTACTCTTCTCTGTATGGTTCTCATTTTAGTATATGTGCTGCCGAAGCAAACACCCTGATGGGAGTCACATATAACCTAATTTGACTGGTTCTGTAGACTATTTCTATCAGTTGCTGGTCATTTTCTCATATTCTAAATTTATTAATGTCTCAGACAGCAATGAGATGACAATGGTGATGGGTAGGCAAATATCATAGAAACAACAGTATCAACTTACAGGAAAAACTCTTTCTAGCAGATGAAGCTTTATCAGAATGTAAAATAAAATATTTAGCTAGGGGATGAGTAAGTAGGGAACAAAATAAGATGATGCATTTTTATCTGTCTTTTACAGTGTATTTGAATTTAAGTGGCGAATAGCAGTAAGAAGGTTGAATTGATGTAGACTGATCCAGGAAGATGGATTTTCTTTTCTGGAAAATTTCTCATAGAATTTCACATGCTTCATAGACATAAAATCTCTTATTATTTTTAATAGTAACATGTCTTAGTAGATCTATTATTTATATTTAAAATGTAATAGTTTCTCATAGATTTGTATAAATTAAAAAAAAATACTTGATACAATAAAATGAATACCAGTGATATTTACTTTCTGTTCCAAAACCTCTTGAGAGTTAACATTTAGGTAAAATGCTATAACACGCAGATCACATTATTGAAGATTGCCTTTGGACAGGTTGCCATGGCTATTTATCCAAATATACAATTATCTGGGTCTTTCATCAGGAATGAGAATTCTCGGACAAAAACAAAGATTTACCACGCAGCCTGAAACAGACAGACAAGTAGCTTTAAACAATAAGCAATCTTTTCAGATTGATTTTTTTTCCTCCTTTCATCAAGAGTCACTGTCAATGATGTCTGGCTTTCCCCAGGATTCATGACATAAAATTTTTATCTTAGGAAATGTTTGTTAAAAACAAACAGACAGGGCGCCTGAGTGTCTCAGTCGGTTAAGCATCAGACTTTTGATTTTGGCTCAGGTTGTGATCTCAGGTCATGGAACCCGCTCAGCACCCAGTCTGCTTGACCCTCTCCTTCCTCTCCCTCTACCCTTCCTCCCCTTGAGCATCTGCTCTTTGCCCATGATGAGCTCTGAGTACACCTGTGTGCACCCTCCCTCTCTCTAAATGAATAAATAAAATCTTAAAAAACAGACAGTATTTAGTATATTTGTATTATAGGATATCTATAATGTAGCACCAGGATTTTGTTGTATCTGTAAATAATTATTTATCTGGAGTATAAGTTTTTGAAGGACTTGATTCTGGAAACACATAAGACTATCATGAAGATTTATGTTTGGATTTCCAGTAGAAACTTTTAGAAATCAAATGTTTTTTGATGTATTATATTTTGGACTAAATATGAAGGGAGTGGGGGGGATAATTCTTCTAAATCCTTTTTTAAAAGACTAAGCAAAGAGTTTAAGACTGCTAAAATATGACCTCTCAAAAACTTCTCAGCAATTTTCTGAGGGAAAAAAATGTGATTAGTAAGTCACATTGATGGTGAAGCTAACTTGAAAATGAATTTTTACATAAATTTTAAGTATCATTCTTGAAGGTATTTGTAGTTAATTTTTCAAACATTGTATCTGAACCTAGTCACCTTTGTCTAAATGTTCTGTTTTGGTCTGATTTTGAAATTCTCAATTATTACATGTTGGCTGTCTCCTTGATTTTTGAGTCATGTCATTTTTCAAGGATATCATAAAAATTATGTCATTAGAATTTATATTTCATATTTTCCCAAACTTGTCAATTATAGTCCTCTTGCTACAAGATTACCTTATCCAATACCAATATTCTCTCTTCTGTTTATGCATTTCTTCAAAGACTTCATCCAGCCCCAAATTTCCAACTCTAAACTTCAAGTTAGTTATCACCAAATCCACCGTTATTAGTTCCATTGATAGATATTTATCGAGTATCTTCTGACTTGCTAAGCACTGTGTTGAGAACAATGGTGAGAATTTTCCCCATCCCAGTCTTTCTTTCATCTTGTTTATTCACTCATTCTTTTATTCAACAAATACTTAATAGACTGCTATTTTGTGCCAAGAAAAGCACTAAGTGGAAGATTACAGTTTACAATTTCTTCAAAACATGAGTAATGTAAATGGACAATTTCAACTTTAAGAAGTAAGTGCTAGTTTGATAAAGGTTTTATACAGTTAGCTCTGGAAGATGGATGGGCATGGAGGGTCAAGAAAGGGTTTTGCATGATTTAGCATCTTGCCTGAGATATCAAACCTGAGCTAGTTATCTTGGTTTAGAGTTCTCTAGAAGTTGACCCTGAGATAAGGATTCAAACGCAAGTAGTTTATTTGGTAAACTGGTAGAGAAGTGGGGAAATAAAACAGGGAGGAGAAAGATGCCAAAATAAAGTGTACATGACCATCAGTTACCACCATGGACAACTGGAACTCTATCCCTCTAGGGAAATAGGAGAAACACTGTGGAATACAACTTAGAATTATCTACCATCCTCTGCTCCAGGTTGAAGAATCTGGTTTTTATTCACCAGCAACCTGTCCATCATTGTCCACTTCTGCAGACACCGACTCTTTGTCACTTTTAGTTTTCCTTATGCATGACCTCATGTGCTCTTGAGGCTAAATAAAACCTTAAGACCAATAAGTGCAGATATTTACATTAAGCAGGCTTGGATGCATAAAAATGAATGTTGTAGACATAGGCACAAGGTAGCAACACAATCTGCTAAACCAGGTAATTTCATAGAAGGAATTTAACACAGAAAATTGGTTGTGAAGCTGTCAAAAGTGCTACAAGAACAAAGGGGGGAAAGTGAGGTGATATCAAGATTAGCAACTGCAGGAAGCCAATATGACCCCTAGGGCAAGAGGAACAGAGGGAGGAAAGAATGTGTCTGGGCCAGGAGCCAGGGCTGAAGACTGAATCACTGAAAAGACAAAACAACCACTGGAGATGTTGATTGAAAAAGAGTCAGATAAAGATATACCCCGGTTTTATCTATCTTCCTGTTCTCCAGAGTCCAGCCAATACTTCCCATTGGCCAAACCCAGCTGAGAAAATATTAGTCAGAGACTCCTGGTAAGTGTGGCTTCAGAGATCAGGCCCTTGAAATACACAGCAGAGTAGAGAAGGGCGAGGGATAGACCACAGCCAAAAGGCAAATAACCAGTCAGGTTTCTTTAGGATATATTGCCTAAGCAGAGTTGTCAAGGTTTCCCCCACCTAATTTTATTTTGAACTTTTTGTCACCAAACCACCTCTATGGCATGGAGAGTAGTCTCTTTCTAACCCTGAAAGAGTGGTATACTCGGGTTCTTTTCCCAGTCTACAATCCTCCTTTCTACATCTGATTGTCTTTCAAAATCCAGGTTATGACCTTCCCAAGTATTCTAGGTGGCAACTCTGTCCCCTTTTCTGAGAGTTTTAGTGTGTGTGTTTGTGTGTGTGAGACAAACTATTCTCTGCCATCGTGCATTGGTTCCTGTTCAACGAGTGTTTTATTTGCTTCTTCCCCACCACCCTGAAGTGCAGGGACCTATGTAAGTTAGAATTACATTGTGCTGTTTGTTAGAAAAGTGAAAATATCACTGACTATTTTTCTCTCTTATGTAAATTTGGATTATCTAGGTTGATATGACAGTTTCTCTACCATCAGTGATCTATAGCCCTAATCCTAAATATATCGCTTCCACATCATAATCTGAGTTAGCTGCTGTGAAACTAAACTCTATGCCCACATTTTAGCTGGCAGAACGGAGGCCCTGAAGAAGAGACCTACAACCTGGTAGGTCACTTTAAGGTTATCACACAACACATGTCCTTAAAGCCACATAGTGAAGTGGTCACACTTGGATGCCAGAGAGTCTAGAATATTAATTATTCCAAGTAGTCATATGTGTTATGCTAGGTCCTTTAAGAAGCAAACATCAAGATGGAATTAGTTGTGCAAAAGCTTAACTGGGGGGATGTCCATGAAGAAGAAAGGAGAGTAGGAGCTGATAGGGAAAACTTTCAGATTATGATTGATGCAGATCTGTCATCTGAGAAAGAAAGGAATTGAGTAGGAAGAACTTCATACTGCAGTATAACTCTGAGTCTCAGGCAGGCCTGTAGGAAGTCCCTGAGCAAAGATTTTCCATTAAAGAAGTCCAATGTTGGGTATGAATGGCCCAGTTTGGTGCCCCAGGTGTGCTCAATCCTCCCAACTGGCTGTCTCTGGCAGGGGTCATGAGTGGCTCTCTTGTGGGTTGCCACACGAGGTGACCATAGCCCTTTGCTTCGATTACTGTGGAATTTTCACAGAACCCTTCCTCACACTTCTTTTCTACCCTGTTAACTTCCAATGCAATATTATACCCATGGCTGTGAAATATTATACACATATGCTTCATGAGTAATTTGCTCACTTTCAATGTCAGTTCATACTCTGTTTTTTTCCTGGTTTTCTAGCAAAATCACACATTTAGAGAGGCTTTCAGATGTAAAAAGATTCTGAGTTCCAACGTATCTTCGAAAGCCAAGGAAATTTTTCTAAGACAGATGGGATTTTATTAGTTGTTGAATGGAATTTGTTAAAGGGGATGAACACTGACAAAGGCAGGATAATATTATGGGTTTGTGGAGTTCAGAATGAAGGAAATGAGCACGTGTGATTTCACGGATGAAATTTAGTTCAACTTCTGCAATTAGGGAACAGCTGAGGACAAGGAGTCACAGATAATCTACCTAAGTTCCCAGTACATTGAGGCAGTGTCAGGCTTACGTCCCTGGTCTCCCAATATTTTGGTGTGTGCTCTGCTCTGCCTCTCTTTTTGCGTCAGGCTTTATCACCAATCATTGCTAACTGGTAAACTCTATTTGGAGGTCATATCCTACAGAAGGAATTGAACAGAAATAAAGTGATTTGGGGTTTTAAAGGTCAAGCCAAAAAGGCTATTTTCCTGGAGAAATAAAAGACTTTGTTATACCCATTAAGCATAATAATTGGCGACTGATAGTCATAATGCCTTATGCTCTGGTTAACCTAATCAACAGAATCTGCAAAATATCAA